TCGCTCTGTTTATACACTATATAAATCCATAGATAGATAGAAGCAGGGCTCGCTCTGTTTATACACTATATAAATCCATAGATAGAAGCAGGGCTCGCTCTGTTTATACACTATATAAATCCATAGATAGAAGCAGGCTCGCTCTGTTTATACACTATATAAATCCATAGATAGAAGCAGGGCTCGCTCTGTTTATACACTATATAAATCCATAGATAGATAGAAGCAGGGCTCGCTCTGTTTATACACTTTATAAATCCATAGATAGATAGAAGCAGGGCTCGCTCTGTTTATACACTATATAAATCCATAGAAAGATAGAAGCAGGCCTCGCTTCTGTTTATACAATTATATAAACTACAGATAGAAGCAGGGCTCGCTTGTTTATACACTATAAATCCATAGATAGATAGAAGCAGGCTCGGCTTCTGTTTATACACTATATGTAAATCCATAGATAGATAGAAGCAGGGTTCGCTTCTGTTTATACACTAAGTATAAATCCATAGATAGAAGCTAGGGCTCGCTGTGTTTATATACACTATATAAATCCATAGATAGATAGAAGCAGGGTCGTTTCTGTTTATACACTATAAGTAAATCAATAGATAGATAGAAGCAGGACTCGCTCTGTTTATACACTTTATAAATCCATAGATAGATAGAAGCAGGGCTCGCTCTGTTTATACACTATATAAATCCATAGATAGATAGAAGCAGGGCTCGCTCTGTTTATACACTATATAAATCCATAGATAGATAGAAGCAGGGCTCGCTCTGTTTATACACTATATAAATCCATAGATAGATAGAAGCAGGGCTCGTTCTGTTTATACACTATATAAATCAATAGATAGATAGAAGCAGGGCTCGCTCTGTTTATACACTATATAAATCCATAGACAGAAGCAGGGCTCGCTCTGTTTATACACTATATAAATCCATAGAGAGATAGAAGCAGGGCTCGCTCTGTTTATACACTATATAAATCCATAGATAGATAGAAGCAGGGCTCGCTCTGTTTATACACTATATAAATCCATAGATAGATAGAAGCAGGGCTCGCTCTGTTTATACACTATATAAATCCATAGACAGAAGCAGGACTCGCTCTGTTTATACACTATATAAATCCATAGATAGATAGAAGCAGGGCTCGCTCTGTTTATACACTATATAAATCCATAGATAGATAGAAGCAGGGCTCGCTCTGTTTATACACTATATAAATCCATAGATAGATATAAGCAGGGCTCGCTCTGTTTATACACTATATAAATCCATAGATAGATAGAAGCAGGGCTCGCTCTGTTTATACACTATATAAATCCATAGATGGATAGAAGCAGGGCTCGCTCTGTTTATACACTATATAAATCCATAGATAGATATAAGCAGGGCTCGCTCTGTTTATACACTATATAAATCCATAGATAGAATAGAAGCAGGGCTCGTTCTGTTTATACACTATATAAATCCATAGATAGAAGCAGGGCTCGCTCTGTTTATATACTATATAAATCCATAGATAGAAGCAGGGCTCGCTCTGTTTATACACTATATAAATCCATAGATAGATAGATAGAGGCAGGGCACGCTCTGTTTATATACTATATAAATCCATAGATAGAAGTAGGGCTCACTGTGTTTATACACTATATAAATCCATAGATAGATATGAAGCAGGGCTCA